GGGCGCCGGGGGAGAGCGGGCGCCGGGAGGCGGCAGGAGGCGGGCAAGGCTCGTCCGCCTCCGTCAGCGAGGGGAGACTGCTGCTGGGGAGCGGGCAGCGCTCCGCGTTGCGGGCAGGTGCCGAGGTTGTGCCCGGAGGAGCGGCGGGGGCTCCCCCCGGCAGGGCAGCCCGGGAGACCCGCGCCCGCTGCCGCCGTCGGCAGCGCCGCCGTCCCCTCGCGTCCCGCTCCGCCGGCGGGCCCTCCCTTTAGGGATGAAATGGGCGTCCGCTGGGATTTTTTTGCGTTCCCCAGTGCGGCTCGGAAATCCCCTCTTCAGCACACTTCCACCTTACCGAGGGATCAGCGTCCTGGGACAGCTGCCCAGCGCATGCGGCAGCCTCTGTACGGAATGGCCGTGCACTGATTTTTCTGCCTAGTATTTTGAAATGAGTACAAAAGTACACCCAACACGGCACTCAAATACATGATTAAGTTTAAGGTCTGTAAGTTTCAATTTTAAAGTTGTCGTTAGCATTTGATGTGAAATTTATGGCAATGTTTAGATTGTGGGCAACACATCGATTTGTAATTGTATGGGCTTTTAAAACCATGCAGTAATACATTAATTGAACATCTGCTCTGTTTGAGTAGAAAGTTTCACAGGCTCGGTTTAGTCTGCAGCCATTTTCTCCGTAGGCATAGAGGGACATAAGGACAACTTTGTAGTAAAAATAACGGTACAATGTTAATTTTCTTCTTTATTTGTAAACAGGAGATTCAGATTTGCACTTTGCTTTGGCCCAGCATTGCAGGAGAAATAGTTTGGGATGTGACCTTTGCCACTGTTTTCTTTCTAATACCAGGATTAGTCATCGTCATCAGTTATTCCAAAATCTTACAGGTATGTTTTTCCTTTAAATTTTGTTGTAGAACAAAAAATAAAGTAAACAGTAACTCACTAGGCATCAACATATTGTCACTGAATACAAATACATCTAAAAGGTATAGACATAATTTGCTCAGTAAATGGTAAGTATGTGATATAAAATGAGGCTCTTCAACCTGTACATAACAGCCTATATGTTTCAACTAAGAACATGCTTGAACAGCACATTACCAGAAGCCCAACACAAAGTTTGTCTTCATTTACATGTAGTATTTAATACAATTCTCCATTTACATGCTGTTCATATTTAAAGACTGTCAATCTCCTAAATGCTAAAAGAGTCAAGTATTTGAAGTAACTAAAAACTAGGTGTTGCTTTCCTTGAGCCTAAACTCCAGAGTCACAAGGGATTTGTAAGAAAGCAAAGACAGGCAGGACTAGAAAAAATCCATCCCCTTTTAGATCTACTGATTTTCTGCATGCATTTTTAGTATACAGATCTCGTTAGATTACACTTACTCCTCCACAATTTCAAACTTTGGAAACAAAAACTGTAAATTAAACACTCTGCTCCCACTTTTTTTCTGAGTGGATGTTGTTTAACTGCTGAAATATAGGCCAGGAGACCAGGCAGAGTTTTAGTCTATATTCTAGCAAGCATGATATTAGTTACCTAAATTCCTCTTAAAACATCTTATTTCTCACCTCTTTCTCTTTCAAAAACAGTGAGAAAGCGCTAGAAATCTTCAAACTAGGTACTGCAAGGCCTAGTTTTTAGCAACTGCACCCAAAAGATTCTTGATTCCTGTATTAGGTAATTAAATTTCTCGTACTATATGTAAGGAAGATGACAGGTTTTGGAAAGGAATCTCAAAATACACAGATTATTGAGCATGGAATTAACTGATGAAATGCTGAGCACCCACATGCTGTGGGTGCAAGTACCAGAGCTGCACATAGATGTTTCAACGAACCTAGGACCTAGAATCTGGGCTTTACATATACTTACCTATTGATCAGGCTTAATATCATAGTCAAAATTGTCAGCTCTTAGTTTCTGTACACTCTATAAGCTCATTATAACCTTGAGGTAAATGCATTAGGTAAACTTCTAGTGAAGTAAGGCACTTGCCATTTGCAACCTCATATTTGCTGTAGCCAAAGAACGTACAGTAACTCGGTGGGGAGTCTGAGCCCTTGGAAGGAACTGCAAAAACCTGCAGGCCAAGGAATGCCACAGTCCTTGGTCAGAGACCAGGACAGGAATGGCATTCCTCTTGTCCTTGCTGACTCCAGATTACAACAGGTGAATTTAGAGAACAAAATGGCACATAGGGAGCTATAAGCCCAAAAAAGTGTTTGGAATCCTGGATTATAAAACAGCCCCATGCTGCCATGCTCATGTTTCTTTTCCAACTTGATAACATGGATTCTAAGATGCGTTACCATTTCTCCTGAACTGAAAAAGGAATGAGGCCCATGGCAGGATCCTGTCTGTTATAATTGAATCTTCTCTCTCACACAGCTCTCCAGGAAGCAACCGGAACTCAGCTGGAGAATGTTTTAATCCCTGAGCCATTCCCAAGAGCAGATTCACTCTCACTTCGTGAGAATGCTCCATGATGCCAGTGCATACAGAGTACAATGCTCAGTGTTGCTGGAAGCAGTTCAAAGCATTCATGTATTCAAATAACATAGCATCTATGATGATGATGATTCACTACAGATATAAAACCTCAAATTTGTTAAAAAATATACTCTACAAATGTACACTTCACAATTTAATCTGAAACTCAGTATTATTTTTACGTAACACTTCCCAGAAGCCTGGCAAAAATGACAGATTAGAAACCATGATTTGTAATTAAGTTACTTGTTTTTGCACTGTTCCCCCTCTCAGGCAAGACTTAGGTAAGAGGCTGGAACTAGTAAAGACGTTCATGTTCTGAAAGTTACCTACTCGTGTATGCATGACTTCTAAGTTCCTGGTTCTCAGCGTGTGGTCCAGATGCCCACGATAGGTATCTAGATTCCTTGTACTAGGCAGACCAAAACAGGATCCAAAATGTATCACTGCCACCCCATTTCAGTTGAGCATTTCCTTAAGATGCAGTTGCGTCTTATTTACTGCAGTTCTGGTTATTCTTGCATTCTTAGTTCTAAGCTGTGCGGCTCCAGCAGGAAAAATGGAGGGTACTTCTATGGGACAGGTACAAAGGTATCTAATGAGGACATTCTGTAGCTGTTTTGAACAGCGGAGGCTGAGGAGGGTACAGAACTTGGTTTTCCTACTTTTACATTAGAAGTGGATATTAGTCCTTTTTTATTTTCTGAAACCTTCATTCTTACTAAGGCAGGTTAGGTGCTCTCTAAGAACAACTCTTGGATTGGATTGTTTGGAGGAGTTAGCCTAGTTTCTGGATTCCAAATGGGTACAGCAAAAGATCATCAGGCTGGAATAGTTTTACATGCCCAAAACATCAGAATTCTCTGCCCTTTTTAAATCAGGGAAGCAGCTACTGAGACCGTCCTCTTCTCAGGCTCAGCAGCTGCTGAGAAGCCCATGTTTGGATCATGAGTTTTGATTTATACGCCTACATTCTGTTGAAATCTTTTGTAGATGTCTAAGTTCTTAATGAATATTTATTCTAGGCCATCTATCTCTGTGACAAATCCAGAAAACTGCAGAAAGAATGACAAATTACTCAACATATATACAACCATTTTCATCCTAAGCTGAACCAGGAAGCTATTAAGTATTAGTAGTATTACTGTTATCCTTCCTTTGGTTATTGCTGAAGGGAAATGTCACACATAAAAGTGGCAGGAAGAGTCTTACACCTTTTGACTTTCCTACTTAGACAGCAAATTGATCCAGACTTTTGAAAATACCTGTTCTTTACCCATGCAGGAGGTAAAATGGCATCTCAATTATTTAGCATAAATGTTTGTTTTCTAAATCTTTCAATTTTATTTTATTTGCATCAGATATGTGAAAGTAACAGACTTATTTGTGCTATGCCAACTTCAATGAAGACAGGGATGTAGAGCATGAGATTTAGAGTTTTCTGCAAGCCATTGGGATTCAATATTCTACCTAATGACAGATGATTCACACCCATGAATACTAGATTCCCAAACTACCCATAGTCTGGTTTATTACATCAGACAGTACTTTTACAAGACACAGATTTTCATAGTGACAAAAGGATCTGTAAGATTTCAGGTTAGTCCATAGAAAGCAATTCTGACTACTGACTGAAAAACTAGAAGTTTACACAAAACTTTACGTAAAATCCCATTCACTTTTAAAACATAACATGATTTAGTTACTGTAATAAATTTATGCTCCTTCTAATACCTACCTTGTAATATCAGCATGGCTGTAAGAGAATTGGTTTGTATTCCTTCTTGCACATCAACAGGATTGTTAACTATGTTCCAGTTTGCATTTGTGAAAAAAATCAATGGGTTTATTTAGACAGAACAAATGAGGTCATAATTTGAAGTTAATGGGATTTCATGAGTAATTAAGGCTCTGTTTTATGCTGAAAAGTATTTATGGCTGGTAGAGAGCCATGAGGAGAACAACCAGCTTGACTAATATTGAGGTGAGTTCACCGCTGAGAGGAAAAAAATTGTTAGTAAAGTGAGAACGTTTGAAATGGAACCATTGACAAAAAGTAAAAATGGAATTCTTCAATGCCTTTCTTGTAGTCACTTTTCAAAACAGAAACATCATGTGCCAAGATTTACTTTTACACTTGTAAAAATGCATTAATAATTCTTCTAGTTTTCAGTGAAAGTTACTTTCTTCTCTTTTACTGCAGATTACAAAAGCATCAAGAAGGAGTTTAAATGCTGGTTTAGCCTACTCAGAAAATCATCAGATTCGTGTTTCCCAGCAAGACTACAAACTATTCCGAGCCCTCTTTGTGTTGATGATCTCTTTCTTCATCATGTGGAGCCCAATTATAATAATTATTCTTTTAATTTTAGTCCAGAACTACAAACAAGATTTAAATATTTTGCCATCAGTTTTCTTCTGGATAGTATTATTCACTTTTGCCAACTCTGCTGTCAATCCAATTTTGTATAATGTTGCCCATTTCAGACGTAAATGTCAGGAAATTCTTCTCTGTTGTACAGGGAACCCTGTAAGGCATGGGGCTGGTACAGAAACCACTGCAAGAAGAAGTAACCATGAACAACCAAATTTGTCTTTCATTACCAGATAATTATTTAAAGTCTGAGCTGTGCCACACTTTGGATGTTAATATCTACACTATCCCAGGTTGAACAGGTCACTATGTTATAGTATATATGCCAGAGAAGGAAAAAAAACGTTAAACCTGTATTTTTAATTCCTGCAGGTAAAATTCTCTTGACTTCACTGCTTTGCCTCAGTAAGATTTGGACAATTTAATCCAATGGATTGAATTCTCCACTTACACTGAAATAAATAGGAATATGGCAGTGAACTTGGTGAATGTAAAATAGCTGAAATAAGTACTTACCAGATGAATTAATTTCTATGAGGGTACATTTTCAGTTGGCATAAATGTCATTAAATTTAATGAAGTTACAGTGAATCTATATCAAGAGGGCACCTGATAGATTTTTAGTCTTTATTTTCTACTGACTAAGAGATCAACTTTCTAGTGAAAGTGTACATCCTCAGAAAGTATCTGCTCTTTTTTTTAATCGCATTTAAATAAGGCATTTGATTATACACTTAGATAACTGACTGCCTGAACATAGGTTTGAGGAGACTAACCAATTTTGTGCAGGAAACAAGATGATAAACATGTATTATCACCAAGTGAATGACCAGTTTGGTTCCATCTCAGATTAAAAATATGGACATGATGCCTGTTAATTTATAAATAAAGAAGAAATAAATAAACGTTTACTTGTCCTGTGTGAAATAGTTCTTTTAAAAAGATGTGTATTTTTTATGTCTTCAGTAGTCATGTAATAAAGTTAATCAGTGATACATAGGATCACTGAAGTTCCTTCCTCCTTTCTAAAATGTTATTGGGAACAATTTCCAATATTTCCTACAAAAAAGATGATGTTGTGTTTGAAAGGAAATTAAAATACATATATTCTTTTTTTTTTTTAATTAAAACTCTTTTAGTCAGAAATTGAAACCACTAAAAAAAAGAAAGATTAAATTCTAAGTTATTGCCATCTGTCACCAACTCAAAACAGTGCAATTAAGATAATGGTTTACTAATAAACCCAATGTCTACATATGTACAGATTTGCATACAAACAATTTGCATCCCCTGTAATCCAAGTTTATTGAAGTGTTTCATTGGTTTATTAACAAGGTGAGCTATACAGCTCAGATAAATATATTCAAAATCTAAATGAAGCCATTTAAAAGGTTTTCAAGAGAACACCCAATCAATGTGTTAACTTTACATCCATGGTGCTGTTACATGGTTTCTTTCCATAGTTTTGGATCTCCTTAAGAGCAAAATCCTGAAACACACACACAAAAAAAATTATTTTTCAACCACACTAGACAAAATTAAAATATACAAACTTTCACCAAATTTTAAATGCATACATATCTAATTTCTTTAAAATGCTCTTGAGCCCAGCAGTCTGTTACTTGTAATGATCATGCCAATACCTTGCTCTGCAGTTTATAATTCCAAAGAATTTTCAACTTGGAACAAAACAGGAATTCATCTACCTGTCCTGAGCATTTTAATACTTCAGCAAACAAGGTACTGGATAGATCAATGATAAAAGAGTTATTTATTTAACAAGCTTCAAATTACTTGCCTTTTAAAGATTATTAATTTAAGAGTGTCTTTCAACAAAATAAGGATCTCCTGACCTCCAAAACTTCTAATGGCAATAGTAAATTAGCTGAAGGAACATACCACTCTTTAATTCACAATTTTTGCTTCTAGCAAATACTAACAGCAGATTCAGCTCTCAGCTCTACTAACATGACATCATATTGTATTTACAAGTAGTCCCACTGTGATATCCACACTCACATTGCATAACTTAAAGCAAGAGACTAAGTGTATCATAGCTTCATCCATATTTGGAAAGGAGCTACCATCAGAAATGCAATGTAAGTTACAACCAAAACCCTCGTAATTTCCTAGGCTTCTCTTTTGCCTTAAAGAACCAGATATTTTAGAATTTTTTTTTTTTCATCAAGATAAGTTTTGTACATCTATTAGTGTTTGGAGGGAACTTAACTTGAGTACAGTATTAATGTAAAAAGTTAATGAAAAATCTTTGGGAAAAAAAAAATTAGCTTCAAGACATAGGCAGAGTATGCACAATTAGAAACAGATACAAGCCTGTTCTTGCAGCATCTATTGACGTCAGTCAGAATTTTACCACAATAACAATGGAATGCAGGTCAGTACAGATAACCGAAGTTGGCTTTTTTTTGCTACTAATTCTGTAGCTCTTAATAGCAGAATTAAAACTAAAGTAGCAAGGCTTCCAATCCCCACATAAGGAATTAAGTGAATTTTGTAAGAGTTTCTGATATAAAGCTTTCAATAGATTTTTTTTTCAGTTTAGCTCACAATCGTTCTCTCATTCCCAAATGTACTTGCTTTGCAGGAACTTTGGCTTAGTGATACTGGAGAATTCAGAATCAACTAACACTATGGTAATTACAGGTCCTGATCACAGTAAGTGGAAAATGCAAATTGCTGGCTTTAAGTTTCATTTATGCTTTGGTGCTGGGCTCATAAAGATAAACTCTGGCATAATCCTCAATAAAAAGCTGATAGTATTAAGGACTCGGGCTACTATTTTTCATTTACAAACAGTATGGAACTCACACAGTCTTATCAGACACTGCACTCAGTGCCTAACATCTGAATATAAATTAGGATAGCAGACAAAGAATACAGCACTTGGTGCAACTTGGTAGATTTGATATTTCTGTAACAGACTAGAGGCAGCATGATCAACTTTTAAATTAAGGTTAGGAAGTCAAAGAATATTTAACTTTCAAAAGACATTCTGAGCTTTTATTTTAAAATTACATTATTGGTTCTATACTCTGTGGAAAAAACACAAGCATTCTATTATATAGAAGTTCTGAGATATTTGAAAAAGTTATATAACAAATTATGAATAAATGAATATATTCAATTTTTCTTTTTGGTTTATACTTTCTTGCAAAGATTGACAATACATTTATTGCCTTGCAAGCCTCATATAGTGTAGAAATAATAGAAACACAGATTCCACCATGCTGAATCAGACCAGTACTTGGACTAGCCCAATATTCTGATTTTACAGTGGGATAGTACTTTCTCTGGGTTTGACAGAAATGCAAGGAACCACCATAGCACACACCTCTCAAAGTCACAGCACAACAGCTGTATATCTACACTTTATCTTAGATTTAATACAAAAACATCCCTAATAATGTCTTTTTTTCCTTATCTTCAGAAATTTTTATTCTTGCTGCATTTCGTTTGAAGAGCAGTGAATGCAGCATTCAAAACAAAGTATCATCAATATATATAATGACAGTTTCTTTTCTATCCTACCCTTTATGCAATCATACACATCATTCACAAAAGCCAATTTCATTTGCATTTATGATGTCTTTTAGTCTTGACTGCCTTAAATCTCAACTGTCTTTTATGTTGTCTCCAAATTCTCCTTCAAGACAAAATTTCTATTTTCACTGTTGTCAGGCACTTTTTCCAGGTCACTAATCAGTATTCTAAACACCACCTACCTTAGCAGATCTTTCAGGCACCCTGTTATCAGCATACCTACTTTACAACATGGCAATATATTACTCTCTGTTTATAGATCAGATGAACAAGTAATAGAGCCACAAGAGCTGACTGTGCTCATCTGTTCTGACTTTCTTTATAATACACAAAAGTTCCTTCAGTCAATCCCAGTTTATTCTAACATGTCATTTAGAAAAGCCTTTAATCTTGATTTACAGATTTCAGTGATGAAGAACATAGAACAGCTCTTGGTAAACTGTTCCAAAGGTTAATGACCTTTGGAGTTAAACAAATGGCTATTTATTTCTGCTCTGAATGTGTCCAGTTTAAAGTTCCATCCATTTTAATTTATTATTCTTATGTTTGCAAGTCCCTTATTATCCAATTCCAATTGCTTGTGTGGGCAAGCACAGACTTTGCTCAGGTCAGCCTTTAACCTCTTTCTGATGAGAAAAGACTGAGGTCTTTGAAGCACTCACCAGAGGACACATTTTACAAACTCTCAATTTTTTCTCTGCTCTTCTTTGAAACTTCTAATTCATCCTTGGTACCCCTTCCAGTTATGATTATCATCAAATGACATAGCAAGCAGACCTATGCCAAGCACAACAGTCTCATATGAGTCTGTAAATTAATCTTTTGCATCCTTGGTTTATGCATCCAAGAATCACATTAACTCTTTTGGTCACAGCATTACATTGGGAGTTCACATTAAGCTGATTCACCAGTCACATCTTCTGTAGATATTGTGTTTTCCAGAATGCAAGGTTGGGGACAGGGACAGGTACATCACTGTTTTATTTGTCCTAAATATTCTAATCTGTCTTCTTCATTCTTTACTATTCCCAACTCTGGGTGTAATCTTTATTAGTAAGTATATTACATTTTCTTCTAGATCATTGATTAAAGTAGCAGAAATTACCATTTGTTTTTTTCTAATGTATTTGAGCACAAGTGAGCTAATTTTTATCCTTCCCTGTGCTGCAAGCTCAGCCTGACTGTATGACTCAATATAGGGTCATACTTCCAGTATGAGGGGTGTGTCCCACAACCCTTTGTGAAACAGTTGGCATGAGGACCTGTGAGAAAGGGTCTGCTATAAGGTATCCTTTCTAAGACTTCTGATATTCCTTAAAAGCCTTTTATGAAGAATTATTCAAAGAAGTTTTTGAAAATACATTATATTCCTTTCAACAACTATTTTGTTGAGAAAGGCAAAGAGTTCTGATTAAAGAGACACAATTTCTTTCTACAGCAACTATGAAGTTTCTTCTTACTATGTTTACTCATACTACATTGATTTAATTGTTTTACAACTTCCTCTAATTATTGTTTCAGCTGATGTGATATGCTGCATAAAAAGCTATACACCTTAGGTCTCCTTCAGATAAGGGAAATAAAAGTTGGAAATAACTTACTACAAGCTCCAGTTTTCAAAAGACAGTATGACAGCCACTAAGTAAAAGACTTCATGCATTTGCTATTTAATGAGC